ATCCCGCAGCCTCCGGCCCTCCACAATCACCCCGTCGCATCCACGTCACCTGCGTCACCCGCGTCACCCGCAGGGCCACGTCTATGTCAACAACACCTGGCGCAGTGACATCATGACAATTGGGAACTTCTCGATCGCACGCAGCGGGGTCGCCACCTTCCCGGCGCTGCAGGTGGGCGCGGCTGCAACTGCGTGCAGACTCCGCTGCCCTCGCATCGACCATCGTCCCCGCTCCGCTCCCGGCCGCCGCGCGCTCGACCTGGCACCAACCCCGCAAGACACCTCATCGGTTGGCACCCCATATAGGTGGCGATCCTCCGGCTTCCGTATGCAACCACTGCGCCAAAACAGATGTGAATCATGTCCCAGAGGGGCTCAGACCTCGATATAGAGCCCAACCCGACCCTGTTGCACTCGGCGCCGCTTGCCCACCCCCCCCTCCCACAAGGTGATTACTGCTCCGGGGCCCTACCAGCTGCGGTTCATGCCTCTCGTCCTGCAGCACCTGCAGTTGGCCCCCGGCCTTCTAAACCTGAACCTCCGCCACTGCGAGGCCGGCGAGTCCAACGCCACCACCGCGCTCATCTCAGCGGCGGGCGGCGGCAGCGGCGCGAGCGCGTCCGCCGCGGCGGCGGGCGTGCTTGCACCGTGCCAGCGGTGTAGGCTAGGGAGCGTGAGCCTCGACCCGAACGCGGCGGGCGGCTGCAACCTATGCGACGACGCAGATCACGCCTTGTGGTGAGGGCGCGGGGGGCGCACACTGTCCCGTGATTGTGGTGACGTGGCGCGCTGACCTGGCACAACAAAATGGGCCTGTGCTTGCCCCCGCCCCACCCCAAGCGCCCCGGCCGCGGTGCCCCACCCGGCAAGTCGGCTGCGCGGCGCCCTTGGCCGGCGCTGCCCGCCCGTGTTTCCTCCCTGTCCCCTTCCATCCCTCCCGAATCCGCCGACATGCAACTGCGTCGGAACCAATTTACACCCCCCCTCCGCCACCCCCCGCCAACCAAACAGCACCGGCGTGGCAAAAATCCCCGATGGTGGGTTCTGGCAGAGCCACCCCCGCAGCCCCCTGGTGCACCGCTGCCTGCTGGCGGCAGCCTGCAACCACACCTCGCGGCAAAATGACATGCAGGCGTGGGCGGCGGCGCGGGCAGGGCTGGCGGTGGATGCGCTTGAGGGGACATACAGAGAGTACACGGCCATGCAGTGTGCTCCTGGCTATGCGGTGCGCGCCGCCTGTGGCCCTGCGGGTGGCTCGATGGCGCCGGGGCGGCGGCTGCGGGGACTCCGGCAGCCGCTGCCGTTCCCACAGATAGCGCTGCTGCCGCTGCTGCTGCTGCTGCTGCTGCTGCTGCTGCTGCTGCTGCTGCTGCTGCTGCTGCCGCTGCTTCCTCTGCTGCCGCTGCTTCCTCTGCTGCCGCCGCTGCTGCTGCTGTTGCATCCCTTCGTCCCACAGCTCTGGTGGGCTTAGCCAGCTCACAGCTCCCAAGACCTCTCCGAAGCGCCGCTCCGGGTGGGCTGCGTGCCTTGCGGTGCGCTGCGCTGCGTCAGCCGGCCCGCCCTGGCCCCAACCCCTGCCCTCGGCCCGTGTGCATACGCAGGGCGTGCTGTGCGGCGAGTGCCAGGAGGGGTATGGTCGGCGCGGCCAATCCTGCTTGAAGTGCATGAACTCATCAACCAACGCATTCCTGTGAGCATGGACGGCACAGCCGCGGGCTCTACGGCTCGGCTGTCTGTTTTGCTGTGCGGCAAACGCGCGCTTTGGCGCCCAGCACAACTCTGATGCAGCCGGGCCGCCGTTTTGCAAGTGCACTGCATGTGATGCGGTCTCACCATCCTAGATCGCGTCCTGACTCACCCACCCATCTGCTCACTCGCTTGCCTGCTCGCTCAGTGGCTCACCCACTCACTCACTGCGCAAACAGTGGGTGAAATTCACCTTCACCCACTCACTCATCTTGGTTTCGCCCCTCTATGTGCTCAACGCAGGTATTTTCTGGCACTGGTCTGGATGGCCGTCCTGATTATCATCTCAGCCCTGTTCCATTTGAACCAGGTTGGTCATGCACATCACTAGTGACACGCCTTCAGGCCACCAGACGCGCAAATTTGCACCAGAGCACCTCCTAGCCTCTCCATCCACCTTAGCCTAATGTGAATGATGCTTGCTGCAGACTTGCGTTTTCAACTGCACTTACATGGAGCCTCTTGACCACACTGGCATCGAAACGATTCACCTGCCTCAGCCCTAAACCCCCACCCCCAAAACCGCATCGCCGCCGTCACCGCAGATCTCCCAACGCCAGAAGCAGAAGCAGCAGTCTTTCCGCTCGCGGTGGCACCTGGCGGGCTCCCTTAATGGCGCCACTGCCCCCGGGGGGCCCAACGAGGCCGGCTTGGGCGGCCCCGACGGACCCCCTCAAGAGACCGCGCATGGCGGGGTGCCTTTGGATCGCTTCGGTCGGCCTTTCGAGTCGGCGCAGGTCCAAGGGGCGCGAGAGGATGTGGGGCCAGCGACTGCGCCTTCGGTCGGGCCCCCAGCCGGCATCTGCAACGGCGGTGGCCCCAGCAGCGGCAGTGACGACGCAGACACGCATGGAGAAGGGTTCGAGGAGGCGCGCGGCGCGGCGCCCCCGCGGGCGCGCAGCGCCGGGAGGGGCTCGGCTGGCGGCGCTGACGCAGGGTCGGCCGCGAGCAAGGCCGCCCGCTCCGCCGCCCCGCAGCGCCGCGGCGCCAACTCGATGCTCGACACAACCCTCAGGGACGAGCAGTCAAACGGCGCGGCGCCGGTCAACCCTGTCAAGTCCGTGTTTGACCACGCCCCGAAGCTCCGCCGACGCGCCACGTTTGCAGAATCCATGGGCGCAGGCGGCGACGGCGTCGCCGGCGGCGGCGACGACTCCGAAAGCGGCAGCCAACGCGGCGGCAGCGGCGGGGGTGTCGACAAGGGCGGGGCCCGGGCGCGGGCTTTGAGTGCGGCCGGGTCGGTGGGGACCGCGGGCTCCGCCAGCTCAGCGGGGTCGGAGCGCTTCTGGCTGTCCAACGTGTTCAAGCTGCTGATCACGCACCTGCAGCTGCTGGGGCTGCTCAGGGGCATCCGCATGGGCTGGCCCGGCGGCATGGATAAGGTGCGACGACGGGCCTCCGGGTGACGTCGGGCGATTTCCTCTGTTTGGATCCCGCAACAGAGTGCAAATATGCACACATCCGTGTTGAATCCACCCCTTTCTCATCTGCAACCCGCGGGCCTGACTCGGATCGAACACGTCGCAAGCGCCCTGCGCGTCCACTGGCAGCTGCTGCCCGCATTGCCTGCTCAGCATCAGCGTCATCATATGAGCCTCAGGTCGAACCACCCACCCTCTGGCCTGCCCGCTTGGCACCTGCTTACCTGCCAGACCCCAGCCCCCCCTGCCACTTCCATCCCCCCC